CCGGGCTGCTGTTTTCACCTGGGGTTTCTTTGGAAATCTACTAAATAAAAAGCTTTGGTCTCCTGCCAAAAGGTAGCATTGGGGAACAGAAAACTGATTCAGCTCTTCCCTTTCAGAAGTACAAATATGCCCAGTGTTTTCCTGTCCCATTTTCCTTCTCACTCTGAGATCAGTGTTATCAGACCCTATAAATTTCCCATGCAGTGGGTCACCAAATAAACAGAGGTATATGATAACAAACAGTTGAGTTGAATGTCTTCCTGTCTAACTGTGTTGGCCAGAAGAGATGGGTCATTCCTCCTGTGAGACGGATTCGGGGAAAATTCTAACTTCGAGTTGTCCTGAACCTGATCCACCCAGATTACTTCTAACTCCCCACTGCTACAAAGAATGACTTGCTGGACATTCTCCTATATGTCCCTGTGTGAGCCTGTGTAAGAATCTCTTGGGGAGAGACACCCAAGGTAGAACACTGAGTCATCAGGTGTGCACGTATTTAATCTGACCGAGCCACATGACTGGACATAGCTGTATCAGTCTACTGCATTGTATAAAGCATTCTAGAATCTGACATTTCCCCCCAACACTTGTCAGTATCCAATGTTCTAATTTTTGCCAATCTAATAGGTATAAAGTGGTCACATTTTTTTTCCATTTGTTTTTCTGATTATAATATATCCGAGCATCTCATTATGCTGGTTAGCCTTGGGGGTTTCCTCTCTGTAAATCATCTGTTCATTAGCTTTGCCAGTTTTTACTGGAGTTTCTTTTTCTTGTTGACTTGCAGGAGGTCCAGGTCTACTCTCCTATTGGACAGTGCAAAATGTCTTCTCCCCATCAGTCAGCGGTCTGTTAACTGTCCATGATTAACAGGAATTCATACTACAGAAATTCTTCATTTGGGGGCACCTGGGTGGCTCAATCAGTTAAGTGTCTGCCTTCGGCTCAGGTCATGATCTCAGGGTTCTGGGATCCAGCCCCATATAGGGCTCTCTGCTCAGTGGGGACCTGCTTCTCCCTCTCCCTCTGCCCTTCCCTCCTGCTTATGTGCACACGTGCTCTCTCTCTCTCTAGCTCTCTCAGATAACTAAATAAAATCTTTTAAAAAAAATTCTTAGTTTTTCTGTAACCAAATTTGTCAGTATTTTCCTTATGGCTTGGGGCTTTGCTGTTTTTGAGAAGTCCTCCCCATTCTTGAGTGACAAAGACAGCCTCCTACATTTTCATCGAGCACTATAACCATTTTACTTTTTCCTATTTTTCCTGTTTAGTCTTCCAAGTGGCTTTACTACCTCTGTATGCTGTTTTAGGTTGGAATCCAGTTTTATATTTCACCACATAGTGAACATTTTCTGCTAAACAATCGATGCTTTCCTCATTGACCTGGGTGCCATCTGAATCTTATACTAAATACTCATATGTACAAGTCTGTCTCTAATTTCTCTATTCTGTTTCAATGGTTTATTTGGCCATCCTTTTGCTAAACACTATTCTTATTACTATTGCTTTGAATGGCGTGTTTGTATCTGGGCTAATCCCCCTGTTTATGACTCCTCTACAAGTTTAGCTTGGATATTCACAGACTTTTATTGTTACATATATATTTTTTAGAGTAGGTTTATTATTAAGTTCCTCAGAAAATTATTTGTAATTTGTATTGGGATTGCATTGAATATGTGAATTAATTAGAATAGACTTGAGCTCTTTATGTATTAAGATCTTCCTCCCAAGGGTATGGAATGTGTTTCCATTTAAATTAAATCACTCTATGTTCTTGATTAGATTTTTAAATTTTTTTCCAAAGACTATTCTACACTTACACTAACTCATGTAATAATCACAACCACCATTTAAACTTTTATCACCATCACTTTCCAAATGAAGAAACTGAGCCCAGAGAAATAAGGGACTTGTCCAAGAACTCATAACAAGTAAGTAAAGTAAGTAACAGAGCCTAGCCTCAAACAGTTTATAGTCCATACTCTTAACCACTGGACTGCCTCTCAATTTACAGGGAGTAACTTTATAGTTTGGCTGCTACTGTGAATGTATCTTCTTTGTATTGTCATTCATTCATTATCTGGTATATTATTTTTATTATATTTTCTAATTGTTGCAGTTGTAGAGAAATGTAGTTTGGGTTTTTTTTTTATTTTAATTCCAGTATAGTTAACATACAGTGTTATATTAGCTCCAAGTGTACAATACAGTGATTCAACAATTCCATACATCACCCAGTGTTCTTTTTTTTTATTTTAATTCCAGAAATGTAGTTGATTTTTAAAATTTGGTATTTGCATCCAGTGAATTTACTGATTTTTCTAAGTAATTCCAATTAGTTCTATTACATTTTTCTCTTGTTTCTGTTGCCCCCCAACTTTTTTGGGATATCTACTGTCAATAATGACCATTTTGTCTTTTCCTTTCCAATTTTTAAGTTTCTCTGTTCTTATTCTTGCCTTACAGCATTGGCCAAGACTTCCAATAAATGGTAGACTCTCTGTAGTAGTGATCACGGGCAAAGAATGTGTCTTTAAAAAAGCAGAGTTGTCCCAGAAGAAAGTTTTCATTCTATCTTGGTTGTACTATACACAGCACATCAGAGAACTGTTTCACAGAGCATAGGTTAGAAATTGTGTTTGGGGGGCGCCTGGGTGGCTCAGTGGGTTAAAGCCTCTGCCTTCGGCTCAGGTCATGATCTCAGAGTCCTGGGATCAAGCCCCGCATCAGGCTCTCTGCTCAGCAGGGAGCCTGCTTCCCTTCCTCTCTCTCTCTGGCTGCCTCTCTGCCTACCTGTGATCTCTGTCTGTCAAATAAATAAATAAAATCTAAAAAAGAAAGAAAGAAAGAAATTGTGTTTGGTGGTCCAAAATCCATTCTAAGCAGACAGGCCCTGTGCTATTCTATGCCACAGAAATTACTTTTCCATAGGGGAGAGTCCTTCCAGAGAAGACATAGTTCAGTTGTGATGAATCCTACTTCATTCTGACTTTAAGTATATTTAATTCTATCCTAGTGCCCTATAGCAACAACACAGCTCTGCACCTGTCACTTGCTTCACACAATCTGCTAGATGCAATTGTTTCTGACAACACATCGGTCTCCATCCCCATGGGGGAATTCACAGACAGCACCACTGGAAGGAGGCTTAGAGAGCAACCAGTGCTCTCATTTCACACACATCTAAAAGTCCCTATAGTGGGTGCCTCCTCACACTTGAGCAGATGATCTGCCTTGGGAGCCTGAGGCTAACAACTGAGAAAGCTTGAATCAGACCAGGGCCTATCATAGCTTTCTTCTAATTGGCTTCTTCACTCCATCTTTAATGGGTCCTGCTTAGTATTCATGCGGTGTCTCAAGGTTTACGGTGACTCGTCCATCCTGACTTCAAAAGGGACCTAGAGGAGAGAAAGAGGAAGCATCCACTCTTCTTGTAGCCTCAAGGCTTTTCCCTGTTCAAGATGGGCTCATCTGCACAGAAGCGGGTACTGATGGCTCCATTATGCAGTCCTGGGGCCTGAGCACAGTCAGACCCATCAGAAGCTCTGAGTAGGTGACCAAACATACCCCTCCCTTTTACACATACCCAAGGTGACTAACACTTGTGGTCGAGATGAGTGAACTGAAAAGTCCCACAGGAACCTCACACCCAGTACATCCAAAATGGAACTTCTCACCGTCTCCTCCAAACTCACTCCCCTCTTACACTAACCCCTGCCTAGGCCCTGGAACAATTCCCATTCCACCATCCTCAACACCTTCCTGCCCATCACACCTAAGGAGTTACCAAGTCTTGGCCCCTCAGCACACTGAGAGTCTCTCTGGCCCACTCTGTCCTCCCCATTCTGACTGAGGCTTTGGCCATACCTCCCAGCTGCTCCCTGTGCTCTACTCCTCACGCCTGGGATCCACCTTCCATACTACTGCTGAAGGGAATCTTCCCATCATGCCTCTCTAACCATGCCTCTTGCCTAAAACCTGAGAAGGCTCCCCACCACCCTCAGAGCAGATGTTCCTTAGCATGGCATCTACTACCCTCATAGCACAGCCCCATAGCTCTCTCTGACGTCACACCCTGATGGCAAGAGCCCCAGATCCCCACTTCCCACTACCCTCCCTGACTGTGCTTCAGACCCCTGTTCCCCCGACCTAAAACCTGCATCCCATTTACTGGGAACAGTCTACTGCCCCTAGAAGCATACTGGGGGGCCCTGCTCCCGGGAGCCTTCATTGCCTCCTCACCACCTTGTCCTGCTGATGTGTCCTCTCTCTCGGCTTCTCCCAATGCTCCGTGCATCCATCCCACTAAACAATAACTTTCTCTCCCTGTAGGAAACTGGACTCTCCGGAACAACGGTTTATTGCATCGCCAGTCTGGTTTCATCCCTTTTCATATTTAAAATAGGTACTCGAATAAAATACATTGAGTCAGATTTAGTGTGGGAGTGTCCCCCAAGGGACCTGTTCAGCAATGGGTGTCAAACGCTTAGCAGTGTCCAGCCGGCACCGGCGGACCATCTGAATGAATACATGGCGAGCGGACGACTGACGAAGGCCCTTTCAGGGCTGGGTGGGCGGTCGCGATCAGGGCACATCCCGGACACAGGTGGACAGTGAGTGGCACTACTCGGCGCTCCGTGGGAAGGGGGCGCTGCAGGGCGGCGGGGCGAGGGCCCGAGGGCGAGGGGTGGGCGGGCCTCTGAGGCCGGGACAGACGGCGGCCGGCGAGGGGTCGGGCTGGCCCGGGGACCCTGAGCCCTGACTCTGCGCCAATTTCGCTTTCGCTTTGGGCGGGCTGGAGGCGGCGGGGCCGTCCCCAGAAGGCTGCGGCCGGGCACCGGCGGAGTTAATCCGAAAGCGCCGCAAACCCCGCGGGCCCAGCTCCACGTGTCACCAAGAAGCTGATGTAGAGAGAGACAGAGAGAGAAAGCAAGCAGGAGACCGGAGTCCCGGGAAAGTCCTGCCGCGCCTCGGGACAATTATAAAAATGTGACCCCCCGGGTCGGCCTCCCACCACCGCCCTCACCTGCTGCGTCCTCAGTCCGCGTCCAGCGCCCGCCCGGGGTCCACGCCGCGTCCGCTCAGCATGTGCCCGCCGCGCGGTGAGTAACCGGCCCGCCGGGAGGCTCGGCGCTCGGCTGGGGAGGGGGCGGCAGCCCGGGGAGATGCGGCAGCAGCCCGGGACCCGCTAAGCGGAGACGGGAAGGCAGCCCGCAACCTCGTGCAGGGGTGACAGAGAGAATGACTGCGTGCTTACCGCGCGCTAAATAGGACATTGTCTCCTTATCTGGAAGCAGTCTTGTGGGCTATCATCAGGCCCACTTCACAGATTTGAAACTGAGGCCCCACGCGGTAACTTTCTTTCTCGGGGTCCCTCAGCTACAGCTATAAGAGGGCAGATCCCAGCCAGCTTCAAAGTGAGGCTGTCACCCCACTGTTTCCAAAACACTTGGCCGAGTCTGGGCTAGTCATTTCACTACCTGGCCTCAGTTTCCCTACTGGTGAAATAGAGGGTGAGCTCTGAATTCAACCCCCTTGTCCGAGCTCATTAGGGGGCCCTCACAGGGAATTGCCTTCTAGCCCTACAACAGAGCACTGCCCTCCAAGAACTTGATTCATTTCTCAGGTGTTGAAGGAAAATGGGAAATGCTGGAGGGGGGTTGGTGAGGTTAAGATGTGGATGGGTGCGGATGACCAGAATGGATGGAAGGTAGCAGTAGGGCAAACCAAGCTGACGAGCTCAGCCTGCTACTCTTCCTTTCCAGGCCTCTTTCTTGTGACCATCTTGGTCCTCCTAAACCACGTGGACGACCTCAGTTTGGCCAGGAACCTCCCCACAGCCTCCCCAAGCCCAGGAATGTTCCAGTGCCTCAACCACTCCCAAAACCTGCTGAGAGCTGTCAGCAACACACTTCGGAAGGTGAGTTTTTCAATATCCTTGTTCCCACTTTGCAGCCTCTCTAGGGAAGGGGTTTCTCTGAACCCCTGGTCACCTAAAAAGAACTGCAGAGAAATTGGGGACGTTAATCAGGAGCCGTCAGGACTGGGAGAAGGAACTTTACAAAGGGCCCAACTATTAGCTAAAGAGTCTCAATGAAATTGTGTCTCCAGAGACGGCAAGAGTGGTAATAAATTATAATGACACTCATTTTGGCTATGTCTACACAGAGGAAAGTGGATATTTACAGTGTTCCCTGTAGCCTGCCAACAGAGATGGAATTGTGTCAGGCCCACACTCTTTCTCTGACACACTTATCAATCCAGGAAAGCGTTATTAGGTGCAGCCCCTGTGCTCCAGGGGCTACAAAGATGAATTAGATTTGCCCCTCGCACCACTCACCAGCTTCCAATGTGGTGACACAGTTCTTTGTCTGAGCAACATGTTCCCAGGGGCCTGTGACAGTGGGTGTGTCACGGGTTATCTAATACGATTTACAGCTTCATTCATTTACTTAGGTTTCATATTTTAATGCAAAAACATCCTTTTTTTCCTTTTAAAAGTGCTTCTATACCTATACCTTCTGCTGGAACAGCCAAAGACTGATGTTTTAAAAGCTGTCTTTTGGCTCCCTGTTCTCTGGTAAATCTTTCCTGAATATTTTCTAGCTTGTTGTTTTATGACTCTCTTAAAATATACTCAAGGCCACAAGGCCTTCTTAAAGAATTCTTTCCCCCTTCTAGACTTTCACAATGCCAATTGCTCCTCACAGTTCAGTCAATCTTAATTAAAAAGGCAGCTCAGCAAGTGAAAACTGCAGAGAAAAGTGCTTGGACTCCTGAAGAAAGTTTCAATCTGGATAAAATTTAGGAGCTGCAATTTAAATAGATGCTTTAGGGGTGCCTGGGTGGCTCAGTGGGTTAAGCTGCTGCCTTTGGCTCAGGTCATGATCTCAGAGTCCTGGGATCGAGCCCCGCATCGGGCTCTCTGCTCAGCAGGGATTCTGCTTCCTCCTCTCTCTCTGCCTGCCTCTCTGCCTGCTTGTGATCTCTCTGTCAAATAAATAAATAAAATCTTTAAAAAATAAATAAATAAATAAATAAATAGATGCTTTATGTGAAAAAGCTAACCCTTCGACTCCCCAGTACAGCTCTAAAGGTCAAAAGATTGCAGGACTCAATTTGATAGTTTTTTATAGCATTCCTTTGTCAAATTTGCTAGAACAAATCAGCCGGCTTCTTACAGAAGGAAGAGGTGGCAAATGCATGCAGCTCACAGCCCACAGATGTGTGGAGTTTGACCCGTACATTTTGTCTTTGATTTTGAGTTTGATACCATTGAAAAAAATGGACCTTTCATATAAGAATCCAAATTTCCGGCTTCTCTTGAAGAGAGAAGGGCCCATATTTCCAAATCTAACTCTTTACCACCTGCTCGGGACGGCGGCTGCCTGGGTGCGTGCGTGTGTGTGTGTGTGTGTGTACCTCCAGGAACAGTGTATAGCTCCAGGTTGCTGCTATAACTAAATACCTCAAAGTAAGGGGCTTCAAACAACACCAGTTTATTATCTTACAACCCTGGAGTTCTAAATCTGAAATAAGCTAGAACCCAGATGGGAGCAGAGCGGTGTCCCTTTCTGGAGACTCTAGGGGAGAATCCATTTTCTTGCCTTTTCCCGCTTCTAGAGGCAGCCCACAGTCCCTGGTAAATGGCCCCCTTCCAGCCTCAAAGCCAGCAGTGGCCTGTTGAGCTGCCTACACGCTGCATGACTCTGACGTTGACTCCCTGCCGCCTACCATTTATAGCAACCCAGCAATGACATTGGACCTACCCAGATAATCCAAGATAACTTCCCAATTTAAAGCAAGCTGATTAACAACCTTCATTTCATCAGCAACCGTAATTCCCCCTTGGCTATGTAACCTCTTCTCAGGTTCCAAAGGTTAGGAAGTGGATGGAGGGTGGGGGGATGGGGCATTATTCTGCTTACCCCAGAGATTTTACTACTTGTTTCCAAACATGCTCTGCATCTCAAGCCTCGATTATGGCTCCTGCACTTCCCTCTGCCTAATATTTCCTCTCTTCTGCTGGTAGGCCTTCTAATCCTCTTAATGCCGTTGTCTTATCTCTGGAGAAGCCTTCATACCCTTCTCAGTACTTCTTACATGCTGACATGACTCCTTGTCATTTGGGCACTTTCCTGTCTCTGCAGTTGAACTTGGAATCTGGGAAGGGAGCGGGGGATGACAGTCCTCTTCTTCGTCCTGTTCCTTAGTACCATGAGTCCCCCCTTCTCCAAGGAGGATACTTTCCGAGACCCCCAGTGGACCTCTGGAACCACAGACAGTACCAAATCCTATATTGTGTTTTTTCCTATACACACATATCTATGGTAAAGTTTTATTTCTAAACTAGGCACAGTAAGAGATTGACAATAATAATTGATGATAAAATAGAGTAATTATAAGAATCTAAGTTAAGGGAATGTGGTTTCTACGTATTTTACTGTACCATACTCACCCTTTTTCTTGTGATGATGTGAGATGATCAAATGCCCGTGTGATGAAGTGAGCGGCACAGGCATTGTGACGTGCTGTTAGGCTACTAGGAAGCTTTTGACTCCGAGCTGGAAGGAGGATCACCTCCTTCCAGACCACAGTTACTGGCAGATAAACCAAGGAAAGTGAAGCCACAGATAAGAGTGGGAGACTCCTTGGACACCTTAGGCTTGATGAATGGAAAAACGATCTCAGTCTTCAATCAAATTTACTGACTTCTTAGATAAATTTCATAAATCTATTCAACGGTGCTTTCCAGCATGCTTATAAGATGACATCCATGTGTGTGGTTGCGTGTGTGTATGTGAACCACTTGTCTTTAGGTTACATGTTTGTTATATCCATCAAGTTGGGACCTTAACAGTTCTGCCTTTAGACATTCTGCTTGAAAAGGATATTCATAAAACCCAGGTGCTTTGACAAAAGGAAAAAAAACCTGTTTTCACCGGAAGCAAGTGTCACAGCGTGGTGTAGACGCTGATTAGCATAGCCTGTTGAAATGATTTATAGTGTTTACATAGTGGAAAAACGGATCATTCAGAGAAATTCATCCTAGGCAAAGGGAGAGGAGGGAGGGAGAGAGAATGTAAATAACCTGTTTCCTTTTGTCTTAGGAAGATCCCAGATTTCCTACCGGTCAAAGAGATGGATGTCAGAAGCCGCCTGCGGTGTCAGCCTCCTATAAGGCCAGGTGCCTTACTAATATTATAAACTGGGTTACTCTTTATGTTTCTTACAGGCCCAACAAACCCTAGAACTTTACTCCTGCACTTCCGAAGAGATTGATCATGAAGATATCACAAAGGATAAAACCAGCACCGTGGAGGCCTGCTTACCGTTGGAATTAACCATGGTATGGATGATTTTCTTCCCCAAGCAAGTAACACAGTTAAGAGCTAGGCATCAAACCTCATCTTCTTCCAAAAATGTGCATGTTTCTGGTCTCCATCACCAGGAGATTTTAATAGGTCCCACTTCAGAAGTTGAATTTGAAAAAATATGTATATACATATAAAAAACATGTGTTTTACAACAATGTGAATATACTTAATACTATTGAACTGTAGTATCCTTAAGAAGAGTTAAGATAGTAAATTCTATGTTATGTGTTTTTTACTACAATAAAAAAGATATGTTTGAGAAAAGCCAGGAAAATGTATATTAAGAATTAATATTTTTGATGTGATGTGATTTTTTTTTTCTCTAGAATGAGAGTTGCCTGGCTTCCAGAGAGATCTCTTTGATAACTGTAAGTCAGAAAATTAAAGGTTTCAGCCCCTATGATGAATTCATATCATTGATGTCTCATTATTTTTTTTTCTAGAATGGGAGTTGCCTGGCCTCCAGAAAGGCCTCCTTTATGACGGTAAGACACAAATACTGTCTTTCCTCAGATGCAATGCGGGGGAAGCATTTTCAGCCATCTCAGTGGCTCCTTTCCCATTTTGTCCTATCACTTAGACCCTGTGCCTTAGCAGTATCTATGAGGACTTGAAGATGTACCAGGTGGAGTTCAAGGCCATGAACACAAAGCTTTTAATGGATCCTAAGAGGCAGATCTTTCTGGATCAAAGCATGCTGACGGCTATTGATGACCTGTTGCAGGTAAGACCTTCATACTCCCAGGAAGAGCACCTTCTTCACGCTGAGATGGCTAGTCAGAGTCCATGACGATTGGGAGAGGCCGGAAATCCCCCTTCTATGTCCGCTGCAGAGCCTCTCGACAAAGGGACTCGTGAGTAGGCCACGGGGAAGACAAGCAGACTCCCGCTTGTTGAGCGTGTGGTACACACGGGGCTCCCTGCAGATGTTTTCACAGATTCTCTCTTACCATCCCTGCAACCACCATGTGGGGTGTGTTCAAAGGAGGAAAGCCAAGCTCAGAGTTAGCTGCTTGTCCAAGTGGCTTGTAAGTGGCAGAGCCAGGATTGAAACCCACATCAGAGGGGTTTCACTACTCTTAGCTTCTCGCTCACTCTGAACGCTCCAGGGTGTGCCCTGAGGGGCCATTAGACGTATCTGCAAATACTGTGGGAGAAAACAAGTGGGGCCTGATGCCTAGGTGTGACCCATTCTGAACTAAAATGTGTGTGACATAAAACAATGACCCATCACCTGGGATATCCACAACGTCACTCATAGACAAGAACTGGCTCTGTAATTTTCTGAATCACCCCAGCATGGATGCTAATACAAAACAGAAATAGTCACCAAAGAAAGAGCAGGGTGAATACCTCGGTGGCCAAGGCATGCATAAAAAGAAGTATGAGTTCTCTTTTTGTGCCGAATTATTGCTGGAAATGCAGCAATGAGCTTCCTGCAAGTATCAAAGAAGGTTAGCATCTAGAGAGTTATTTCATTTTCGCGTCCAAGATTCAGATGATTTGAGCATTGGAATCTACTCTGCCAGGAATCAGCCAACCGTGCCCAAACCATTCACTCCCATTGGGACTCAGGATTTTCCCTTGTAAAATGGCGTGACTTCTCCCACCCTACCTTTCTCTTGGGCTTTTTGCAAGGAACAAGTGGACATATTGATCCCTGTGCAAATAGAAGATCTTGCATTATGTTATCAAATGAAAGGGTAACACTGAGCGCTCCGTGGCCAGGTTTATGTATCTAGCACAAACGAGTGCCTGTAGCAGACAGGTCTGTTACTCTGGGAGTTCCGATCAATAGCGATCCATCACCTCTCTGTTCTAAAAAGGACTTAGCTTCTTAGTATAACATATAAAAATTAATTAGATATTGCAGCAGATGTCATCTGAACAGAATTGTTCCTTTCGAACATGCAACTCCCACTGACGGTTTTCTAAATAGCTTTAAGGGTCTTTTCAGAGCTCACTGAAGATACATGTGCTTGGATAATGAGTATTTCTTCTCTCAGGTTCTGCCCGGCCATCTGGCTGGGAGTAGATCTGGGTCGGGTTTAGGAGTTGTAATGAGAAAGTGGGTTGCAGACTCTGAGACATGTATTGGCTTCACCCATTTTTACGGATGAATGTTTTAATTTGGGAATATCATGTATGTCATCCTTAATATTTATCCTTATAGGCCCTGAATTTCAACAGTGCGACTGTGCCACAGACATCTTCCCTTGAAGAACCAGATTTTTATAAAACTAAAATCAAGCTCTGCATACTTCTTCATGCTTTCAGAATTCGTGCCGTGACCATCGATAGAATGATGAGCTATCTGAACTCTTCCTAAAAAGCTGAGGTCCCTCCAGACCTTAAAGCCATTCTTAAAATAATGTGAATCAAAAATATTTTTCACAGGATGTGGGTTAAGAACCAGAAGGGGGTGCCTTGACCTGGTCCTGCTTAAGCTAGTATGATAATTCTCATGCTTGTTTACATTAGTTGCCCCCCAAAATCTGAACAATGTGACTGTTCCATCCACAGGTTGCCCTTTATCAAGTAGACTTCACATTTTCTACGGAGCAGTTGTTTTTAGGTTTTCATGAGCAAATTGCTAAAGAGGGAAATGTCCTCACTCAACATGTTCTTCTTTTCCCTTTACTAGAAGAGCAAGAATTTATAAGCTATTTCTGTACCAGAGTGTTTGTAGAAACAAACACTCAAGCATAATTTATTTTAAAATACTTATTTATATAATTTTGTGTTCACGACAGCATGTGAATTAACTTATATTTATTTATGTCATATTTATTAAAGTATTTATTATCAGATGGATTTGAGAAATACCTTATGTTCTAAAAATAAAATGATTGAATAAAATAAGTCTCATTTTTTCTGATATGATTGGAATACTTTAAGCATTAAAATACACATTGTGGGAAAACTGAAAACACCAATGTGAACGAAATTTCCTTGGAAAGAATGTCACAATATTCTTACCCAAGTCCTACTTCCTCTAATCTCTTATTTTAAAAGGAGACTTGGAAGACTAGATATGCTTTAATACTAAGGCCATCAAGTGAGTTATGGTTTTTGAGAGTATTGTTTTGTTCGACATCTACATCTAAAAGTAAAACACATAAAAATGTTTTTCCCCATTAACTGCAACCCCATAACATACTGTGTGCCTTAGACAAATACATAATATCCTTCAATTGGGAAAAACATCATTTAGAGGCCTTCTAGTTAAATTATTCTAATTTTTGTGACCCTTTGGGCCCTTAGGGGGAAGCTGTTTCCCAATTACAATGAGAAAAATTCTCCATTTGCTTCAAATGATCTAGAACTTCTGCCTGAACCACATGGATAATTGCCACTCTTAAGAGATGTGCTCCTAACGACCCAATATTAAATTCCATCTTTTTAATTATCTAAACCAATCTTTAAAAGATTCACCTGGCAAAATACCATGTAATTTAGTGCTCTGATAATCATCTTCCTCCTTCATCTGAAAAGGCCATAAGAAAGGAGCTATTTAGGGGGTCCTGCCCCCTACCTCATGTGACTCTTTCCCCACCACAGTCCAGCTCATATCCCTGAGGACTGAGAGGGGATGTGTACAACTACCCCAGGTCCCCTCATCTGTGTGGCAGAATGACTCATTTGTTCAAATTCTCACCCCACTGGATACACAGATAGAAGTAATCAGAAACTAGATCCCAATACATACTCCCCTTTTCTTGAGGGATTCCTCCACAAACTTGAATGACCTGCGAGCGATTCACAGACAGGAGTTTCTTGCCTTAAGTGTTGGGTTTGGGTTTCAGTGGCTTTGATAATGGAAAGAAGAGCTCAATGGCATGATGGGCCTGGGGCCTTAGAGTTGCTGCCATCCTTCACTAGGAATGATGACTGGCCAGCTGTCTGTGCCTAGAAACAAGGAGAGGCAAGCAGATCATCTATCTATGGACAGGGCTTGTACAGAGGAACACAGGTGTTACTTTGGTTCTAGAAATTACCATGACCTATGCTTCAGGCGCATGACTAGCCCGAGAAACCTCTTCTATTCTTTATTACATGGTTAGTTCTTCTCTTTTTCCATTTAATCCTGGGCCTACAGTCTACAAGTTGTATAACATGACCAAGTGGTTTTAACCTCTCCTTATTTCTTCTTCTAAGAAGGGAAGATGATGCTAGAACCTTCCTCAGAGGGTCAGAGGGAGGGTTACGTAGAACAGCTCACGTCGAGCACTAGCACTGTTCCTGACGTGTAGTACATACATATAAATGTGAGCAATTTTTAAAAATTATTAGTAGTCTTTGGGCTTGGTGACTGGGCCAAATTGGTAAAACCCTCCTTCGCTACTATTTTCTTACCTGCGAAATTCAGAAAACTGTAGGCCCTATTTCAGTGCTGTTGTGCTGATTCAGACACAGTATGGGGCTGTCATTGAGTCAATGCTCAACATTAGTTTTTAAAAAGTGTTAAGATTGTTTAGATTCTGCAAGGCCCTGTCCCTGCCCAGCACTCAGCGCGTCAGGTGCTCCCCAGGGGTCTGGTGCAAGTCCCTGCCCTCCCAGAATAAAGGACAGCAAGCAAAGGAACATGGTAGGATTGAGATACCTTCCCCCTAAAAATATTCCCCAGTCTTAGCCTGTTAGAGATTCACTTGATTAACAAATTATTTTGGAAAGGAAATAAACAGTGAAAGTATTTCTCACACTTGAGAATGACTTAATCAGAGAATTAAGATGAAAATTCACAGCTGACAGCTGCCCCCCAGAGGGTGCAGAGCTTTAGGATAAAGGAAACAGTTCTGGATAATGGTCTGGCCAGACATCCAAAGGCAGGGATTGGACAACTCAAGAGATGCAAAAGCACCTGAGACAACCCAATGAGGAAAGAAAACATGGGGACAGAAAGAGAAGAAAAACCAGCTTTGTCTGGGGCCAGCACGGACAGAAACTAGTGAGTCCCCTTGGTGGTATCACCCTGAACCGTTCAGGTGCTGTCCTTGCTTGAAGACCAAACACTTGGTTCTGCCAGCAGGATCTGGCTTCCTAGTTTAGGGCAGAGTGCTTTACAGTATTGCCACGGACTGAAGGCTTGTGACCCTTAAAATGCCTATGTTGAAGCACTGACCCCCAAAGCGATGGTACTTAGAAGTGAGGCACTGGGAGGTAAGTTAGGTCATAAGCGTGTTCTGATGATAGGATTAGTGCCATTGTAAGAAGAGAGTAGGAGAAACTCCCCAGCTCCCTGTGGGGACACAGTGACAGGTGGCTGTCTACAAACCACCATGAGAGCCCTCACCAGACACCAAATCCTTGGGTACCCTAACCTCAGACTTCCCAGCCTTCAGAACCATGGGGAATGAACGTCTGTCGTTTAAGCCACCCAGTCTGTGGTATTTTGTTGTAATAGTCTCAGCTGGCTGAAATAAATAGAAATTTAAACTTTATTTAAATTTTTTTTAAAAAGCCACATTTTCGAAAATTGAATTGTATCAATTTTTTGGTTGAAATGTATTTGGTGAGAATAGGTCAAAAATTTCCGTTGTATTTATGTATTTTTTAATATGATATTAAAAATAGGAATAGCTTCTCTTACCTGGGTGGCTCAGTCATAGAGCACATGAGTCTTGATCTCAGGATTGTGAGTTCAAGCCCCGTGTTGGACATACAGCTTACTTAAAAAAAAAAAAAAAAAAAAAAAATATATATATATATATATATATATATATATATATGAAGGGGCACCTGAGTGGATCAGTCTGTTAAGCGTCTGTTACGCGTCTGATTCTTAATTCTGGCTCAGGTTATGCTCTCAGGCTCATGGGTTAGAACCCCACACTGGGCTCTATGTTCAGTGTAGAGTCTGCTTGGGATTCTGTCTCTCCCTCTGCCCCTTCCCTTGCTTGCTCTCTCTAAAATAATAAATAAAATCGCTTTAAAAACATAAATGTGATTATGACATCAATTTAACATCAGAGAATATATTCATGTGAACTTTTTTAGAAGTAACATTAACTAGTTCTTACTGGGTGCTAACTAAATGCTAGGTGCATTTCTAAGTGTTTACCACAAATGCAAATAATCCTCTCAATAGTTGTACAAGGAGAAATCTTCCCCTTTCTATAGATGAGGAAACTCAGGTAAGAAACCATGGATGCTTGCATGACGAGGAAGTGACACACCGTGATTGGCCCCCGGGGCGGCGTGGCTCAGGCCTGTGCAGCCACAGCAGCCTTTCACCTTTGGTAGTAGGGGCCCAGTAAGTCAAGGGACATTTTCATCACCACCCTACAAACACCATCATGGTTATCTATACGTGTCTCCCTCTCGAGACACTAGGAAAACTTCAAGTACAGGAAATGCCATGTTACCCACGTCTGTGTATTCTCAGGCCCTGGCACTGAAAGGTGGTAGAAAGCGAGAGAATGGCAAATCTTCATGGGCTCCCATATGTTTCTCATTTCTTTTTCTAATCTGGGAATAAAGAAAGTCTTTAGTCTTTAAAAAATCAAAGTATTCCCAATTACCAAAAAAAAGTTTAAAATTGTAAAAAATGCACATGTGTGCTTACTTCAAAACAATTTTTGTGTGCTTATACTGGGAAAAATCCAAAATGCATAAGCCTGTAGATATATATAGCCCACATGTCTACAGCTTGGCATTATGTGGTCACTGTCCTTCAGAAGCCAACCCCTGACACTGGTGAACCAAAGTGTCGTCCACTTCCCCTTGCACCGGTCTCTCTCGACAGTAGTTCCAAGAGGCCCAGGGGATCACCTCACCAGCCGGTTCCCACACTGCCCCTGACAGGAGTGGTTCAGAGATCCAGCCAAGCTCTTCAACAACCCCCGATAGCCCCCAGTAGTCCCCTACCAGAGAAGCTCCTCTTCTGACCGCTTTACCCATGCAGGTTCCAGACGAGATTTCACAAAAGGCCTTTACAGCTAAGGAAAAGTAAAAAACTCACTGAACTAGTCCAAGTTTCTCCAGCAGTTGAGTTTTTATAAGTAACAAAACCATCTCTTAGAGTTCCCAACTTGCTTGAAAATAAAGCAACACTGTAAATGCATACAGCATACACTCTTCTAAAAATGAAACTCAAGGGGATGCCTGGGTGACGCAGTCCGTGAAGTGTCAGTCTTCAGCTTGGGTCTTGGCCCCAGGGTCCTGCGATCTAGCACTGCGTCGGGCTCCCTGCTCTGCGGGAAGCCTGCTTCTCCCTCTCCTTCTCCCCCTGCTTATATTCCCTCTCTCACTGTCTGTCTCTGCTGAATAAATGGATGGAATCTTTAAAAAAAATAAATAATAAAAATTAATAAAAATGAAACTCATGCCAGAGTTTACAGCAAACAGCGCAAATGGACTTCCACAGAATAACGATGGCTGACTAACTCACCAGGAATCCACATCATAAGAGAAACACACCGGATCTAAATTCCACGAGCGGGCTTCAGGGCAGAGCTGCATGTCCTCATTAAGAAACAGGAAAAACCTCAGAACTCCATGCTCAGAATTCAACCCAGGACCGCAGCTCCAGAGTGGTTACCAGAAATACTCAAACCACAGGGTGTGGGCTAGAAAAGATAAACTCCCAGCAGTTACCCAGTTGGGATCACACCCTTCAGCAGGCCG